TATCCCTGATTATTTTCTGGCTGTTGACCAGGGCTGTGTGTCTTGTCTGCTCTATCCGCACCTATTTGAAAAACCCAGGTAGAAAGCAAGGGGGCCTGACAAGTTCTGTGTGCCTCAACAGGCTGTGAGTGTGTGACCATAAGCTGAACCTGGGAGTAGCGTGTGTAACACTACCAGGACAGAATTTCCTTTCTCCAAAAATCCATGCTTTTATTATGCATAATGTGTTTAAAATGTTAGTTCATTCCTAATTTCTTAGGGCTTGATTTGCCTGACTGGCAACAATTTCCCCTTGATTGTAGATTTGGTATAAATTTATTTATTATTTGTTTGTTGCCTTAATCACCAAGGTAAATGTAGACAAATGGACCGTTTCTAAACAAATTATGATCATTCTGTATCCTGCATATGGTTCTAGAGGGGTTCTAATGTTATCAGTTCAAAGGCAACATATAGTAAAAAAAAAAAAAAAAACACATTCACAGCAGATAAGTCATCTTCATTGATGGTAACATCTTTACCTTGATCACAGCTCTGTCTCCTCTCTTCTGCCTTTTCGTATCTTTAACTGGCTCCTTGGTGTAGCTCTTTCTGCCACACAACACTGGGTTTGATTTCTTAGCAAAATCTGTGCTTTCATCACTAGAGACATCTGACTAAAAGGTAACACATGGATTACACATTGGTTGTGAACTTCCTTGTGAGGAAGTTGGGCGGTGATATAAATTTGATTTATAAATAAAAGTAATAAAAATAAACACATTGATTAAAAATAACATCAAAATTATCTTTTTCATTACAAATACATATGGTGACACAGAGAGTCTAAAAAATTAACATTTGGATTATACTGGAACTTTTCTTATTAGGACTTCCGGACACTCAACTAGAAAAGGCTCAAGGATGGCTGGTTTTATTTATGGTAACTGCAGCGAGGCGATCATATGCCCAAAGAGGGAAGACTACAGAATCACCAATAATAGAGAAATGAATTGTGAAGATGGCTGAGTTTGCAAGAATGGTTAAATTGATTTGTTTGATCAAGGAAGGAACTACAATTAGTTTTATAAAAGACTGGAAACTCTTTATAGACTATCTGCTGAAAATGGATAAAAATGAACTGCTGGTTTCGGGATTTATTGATTAAAAAGGTTTGTTTATGGGAAGAAGGGAACTATGATATGCAACATGGGAGGGTGGAGATGGTAATTGCCATGTTTGTAACTGCTGCAAAAAAGATCAGAAGTCACTTCTTTAGATATCTTTCCTTTTCTTGCTTTTTTGTTATTCTTCACTTTTTCTTTTATCCTTTCATAATCCTTCTCTTTTTCTATTTCATCTTCTATGTTTTTTTAAAACTTTTAAAAGTTTTTTAAAATCTTTGTAAAATCTTCTTTTAATAAAATTATTTTAAAAATAGCTTTTTCATGTCTCTAAGCCTATATCCTCCCTCGTACTGAAAGTTGAAAGAGATGATAGGAAGATTGTAGGAAAAGTGCCATTCACTGTGCAAGGCTTTAAAAATGGGAGGGAGGAAGGAATACAGGTAGTCCTCAACTTATGACCACAATTGGGACTGGAATTTCTGTTGCTAAGCAATGCGGTCATTAAGTGAGTCATCCCAACTTTATGACCTTTTTTGCCATGGTTGTTAAGTGAATCTGGCTTCCCCCATTGACTTTGCTTGTTGGAACCCCCCTGGGAAGGTCGCAAATGGTGATCATGTGACCTCAGGATGAAGCAATTGTCGTAAACCATGCCGGTTGCTAAGTGCCCAAATTTTGATTACGTGACTGTGGGGACACTGTGATGGTCATAAGTGCGAGCACTGGTTGTAATTCACTTTTTTAGTGCCATCATAACTTTGAATGGTTGTTAAACAAATGGTGGTAAGTCAAGGACTACCTGTACATTTGCCATCTCATTAACTGTTCTTTTCAATAATTAGATCTGTTATTTACATCTTTGGAACTGTTTAGCACACTGAATTTCCCAACAGTTGATAGTTACGGCACCATGCTTTGCACTCATAATTAATGACATCAGCATGTGTGGCTCGAAAGCCTCCAGTAATGCATCCCTGCCTAGGTGGACACTGATACTGCACCAGTAGCACTGTGGCTAGTGAACTTTTTTCTAGGCCCAATGTATGGTGTTTGTTTGATTTTTCAAGTCTTGAATGGTTTGGGTCTCAGTTATTTTAAGAGTTGCCTTTACCCCTTAACTTGCCTGTATTTTATGGTCAATAACACAAGGCTTTCTTATCTGTCTGCTACAAATGGGGTTAACCTGATGAAAAAACAGACAGGATCTTCTTATATCTCTTGAAATACCATTATTGTTACAGGCCACTTAGGGCTGAATTTTTCTTTGGCTTGAGTTGTGTTTTAGTTTGAAGAAATTTTAACTCATTTTAGCACTCTCTTGTTTGGAAGTTTATGATTTGTTCAAGCAACTGTACTGATTTTCATTATTCTATCACTCTATTGGATGTTTATTATATAAATTGCCATGAGATTGCATAGTTAAACGCAAAATATGTTCAAATACATAAATGTACCAACAGTTAAGTTCATCTGTTCCTTTGAGTCTGAATAGCAATAATGGGTTATTGTCCTACTACTACTGATACAGTATTCCATCCAACGCGAAGACAACCATGTTATAAATAATTACAACTGCTATGAAGAATCATTTTACATATTGCCATGGACAGTAGTTCTATATTCTACTGCCTTTAATGCCAACCCTTTTTTCTCTGCATGTATAAATGTACGTATAGCATATGTGAGTGTGCACTCAAACATTTGTATATACATAAATCACAAACCATACATCTTAAAAAATAAACTTACGCCATAATAAATTTATTAAACTTGAAAAATAAGATTGCTGTTTTTGCTGAAACAAGCTAACATCACTAGTCAGTGTGTATAATAATGAGCTATTTAGACCAATTGTCTGATTTGATATAAAATAGCTTTCAATCTTCCTACATTGTAAGTAAAAAATTATTTTACTTTTATAGTAGACAGATATATGATTGAGGGGGCGGGGAGACGGGAAATGCCTTCAGGTCAGTCTTGAATCTTGGCAACTGCCTGGACACATCCATGTGGTTTTCGTGGCAACATTTTGGAAATGGTTTCCGTTCTTCTTAGGGCTGAGAGAGAATGACTGGCTTTGTGCCTAAGGCAGGACTAGAACTCCCAGTCTCCTGGCTTCTAGTCTACTGACTTTAACCACTATACCAAATTGGCTCTCATTTGAGCATTTCCAGACCTTTTATATTAAAAACCTATATTAAAAATAAATTATTCTCCTATGTTAGCAAACTAAGCAATCCTGCCATGCTGATGGACAACATAAAATTTTACTTTATTTAAATATGACTATTCAAGCCAAGTTGAGCAATATGTTTTAGGCACATTCTTTCTACACTATTCAGAGAAGAAACTTACTACAATGAGTGGACGCTTCCGTTTCTTGATAGCATGAATTGGTGATTCAAAGTCACAGTCACTAATCTAAGAAAGAACAGATGAATGAACATGTATTTAGAAGTCCCAAAGAGGAATGTTTTATTTACTTAAAACTGCTTAATTGTTGCTAAATGACTCACATCTGGAGTTCTCAAAATGTTTCTTTTTCTCTTTTTTTTCTTGAGAGAAGAAAATTCTTCACCTTCACTGCTGTCCCCTACAGTGAAGAAGTAATAATAAGAAACTGAATTTCCCCCCATGCAATGTACTTGATGGTTAGACAGAAAATATACATTTCAACTTTTAAAAATAAGTAAGGCAATTTTGTGTTTGCCAGGATTCTCTAACAATGCAAACTCCAGCCTAGAGAAGTTTAAACAGTATTTCCCATCAGGAGAACAAAATAAAAGAGACGGGAAAACAGTAGTAAACCAGCTTCACTTATTGGACCTGGACATGACTGCTGTCCATACAAATAAGCTTTCTAGCACAAAAAAGCATATCCAACTAGCTAAGTTTCTGTATTTTGTTTCTCATCTAGCTTCCCTAATCAAGTGCACTATTCTTTATTTTGAGGAGGAAATAAGAAATATACCAAGAGCTCAGTTTGATATAATATTTCAAAGCAGCAAATCAAACCTTGGTTAGGACAGCTTTAAAATATTTCCAAGAATCATTCTTTTACCTGCAAATGCTTGTGTGTGCATTTAAATGTACAAACCTGCAACTGTAAAGTCAGGAAATCGGCAGTAGCATATATAGGGATCTTATATATTCTGACACAAAAAAGATGCACCATTTGAAATCAGGATTATTTTAGTTAATGTAACAGGGAATCAACTTAAAAGTTCTAGAAATTATTCTCTAGGGGCATGAAGAGCTTCGAAGTGGCGTTTCCTCTCAAAGCTATGCTCAAACACCTTCTAAAAGTGCTCTGACAAAGTGGACTGGCCTCATTTCCAAATGGAGCACAACGGTTTGTGCCACCTCATTCCAACCAACAAGGCAAGTGGGCCACCCAAAGTGGTTGGCCAATTTTGGTGTGTTGACAAAGCACACGTCAAAGCACCTCCACTCCACACACCCCTTTTATTTTAACATACTCCAATTCATGTTTAAGTAGTTTGACGTACACTGCTTGGAGCACTGCCTTTTTAAGAGCACAGCATCTTAGGAGCCCTATTGAACTTCAGAAAAACTGCTGTATGGAGAGACAAATGTGATATCATTAAAGGGCTGCATGTTGTGTGGTAGCCATGTTCATTCATTTTATGTAATGTTTTGTTTATCTTACTTCTGTTTTGCATATTGCTATTTAGAACATATTCTCTTTTCTTGAAAAGCAAAACATAAATAAGTTACCTAATTTTAGTTAAAATGTGGGAGCAAATTATATATGATTGTCTCCTACCAATGATACAGAGATACCCAAATCACTGATCTAGCCTCAGAAAACCTGGGAGTTATTTTTATATGTGAACAATTATTACTAATATGTGAGAGAGAATCTATTAGTGAAACAAAGAAACAAATTCAGGGCCAAGGATTATTTACAGGTTTATCACATAATGGTTACATTTACTGCAAGCTGATCTTTAACTTCACTTCTAAAAGGTTAGGCAGATGCTGAGCTGAAAACAGAATGAAGTAGTGAGAACCATTCAATATCACAAAAGACAGGCTCTCAGTCACCAGTTTCTTTATACCTCCTAAAGAGTGTAGTTACTCAGATATAGTTGCATCATTTTTCTTACACATACATTCTTGCATCTGAAATCTTAACTTCAGCAGAAAGCCTGCTAGAATAATTTAGGTTTTCATTTTTGCTCTTACCAGGTTCATGGGATGGGAGATCCTCTACTCCAAAAGATGATTTTGCCAAGACTTTAACTATACTGGTGTTTGCTTTCCTTGAAAGTCTCCTCTGTGAGCTTCCTGGATTATTTCTAGAATTTCTAATATGTATCATCTGTCCACGTGTTGGTGTGGAACACAGAGTTTCTACATAGTTTGGTGACCGATAAAATCTCTGTCTTGCTGGTGTCAAAGGGGATCCCAAGGAAATAGCATGTTCAATCACTGCTAGACCAGAATTCTTGTTTTGCAAGTTTAATGGTGTAGAAGATTTAGTCACATTAAAACATTCATTACTAGGATATTTCTTTACCAAGCTACTATTTGAAAGAGAGGCTTCAACCCTATTGGATTGACCAGTTACAGGGCTCCCCCTATTCTTCATGGAGTTCTTTTGCTCTACGGTCTCATCTTCTGATTCTTGAAAAGAAAATCCAAGATCAAAGTTAACAGAGAACAAATCCTGAGAAGCATTATACAGCTGCTCATAATCATGGGGGTTTGCTTTGCTTCCATGATCAAGATCACCAGAGACTTCCACTGCTTTATCTCTATGCGGTATCAATGATGTTATGGGATCTGTATTGCAAACAGAAACAAGTTTGTCAGAAAAATGCCATTCAAAGTTTCTTGCTTTGTTACTCTGCATATTGGCTTGACTACACAAGCCAGGTAATTCTGAAGGCATCCCCGTTTTTTCAGCTGGAGGATGGCTACTCTTTGCACAGTGATTTCCCAATAAGTGTATAGAACAATCTTCATCAGGGCTTACATTTCTTCCAGATCGTTTGCACATTTTTTCATAGCTTTTACCACTATCCCTTTCCAAAGAATTCATCATTGGACTACAATTTACTATTGACAGTTTTCTCTCTTGAATTCCATTCTGTTCTTCAATTTTGTCTTCAAAAATGTCAGCCCAGCTAAGTTCATTTACATTGCTAATGAAAGTATCTGGAATATTATTTGTTTCCAAATGATAGGTATCCACTGAATGTAGTTTATGGGTACTTAAGAGTTCACAGGTGTTCTGAGGTGAAATAGATACATTCTTGAAACATACATTTTTTTCTGGAAGAATATTGTCTTTAGGCCTACTGGAAACATATTGCGGCAATGAATCAAACTCCAGGCCTTCATCCACCCTCTTTTCCTCAGAAGCAAAGCATTCATTCAGAGATGGCGGGGACTGTGACAGGAGTCTTGCTACATTTATCTGGATGTCTTTTCCCCAAGAAAGGTCCTCATCAGCATTTGTTTCAGAAAACCCAAACAAATCAATCTCTGGCACTGGTAGATAAAATAAAGTTGAAAGAGATGAATCATCTGCAAAGCAATCATAGCCAGAATCCACACATTGTCCATTCTGTATACAATTTTCGGAGACAGGCTGAATTAGTTTTGTTACGGCCTTTTCAGAATTAACACGAGTGCTTCCCTGAATATTTGTGTTGGTGGTTGCATCCATATTTTCTTGATTCTCATCTGCCAAACTTCTATGCCCTGTAGCTTCAAGAAATGGTGATATGCTTGTTGAAAAGCAATCTGAAAAACTGTCATCCTTTTTAGCATGATCTGCAGTTTCTACACCAATCACTTGAGGTATTCTCACAGATTTAAAACTGGCCACTTTAAAGAGCAACATACATTCTGCATCAAACTCCTGTAAGGAATATTCTCCTTTTGCTATAGCTGCTGCTTTTTTTCCACACGATAGTTTTTCAAGAGCCACAGTATCACACCTTTTGCTGATCTGAACATTTGATGCATGAACATCTTCCAAATGAAAATAAGGTTGAATTTCCAGCTCATAGGCGCATTCTCCCTAGTTAAGGTAATAAAGAAAAAGACTCTTTATTTTTGAAGTTTACACAGTTACAATCTTTACTTTTGCATCATTTGTATTCACTACATTGCTGTTATTTTACAGAATGGAAATTGATAGAAAAGAGGAAGAATATACCCAAGTTCACTCAACGAGCCCACTACCATTTCAGGTAATTAATTTGAAATTCAAGGCCAATGCTGTCAACTTCAGCACAATGATTTGCTTCTTCTTTTTGAATGTTACAAGTCTGAATAGAAAGGGAGGAGTTACATCATATGTTACATTAGTAAAATTAATAGTTATTATTCAATTTATACTCTTTTTTTGCACAAAAGATACTCAAGCTGGCAAAAATATTCACAACTACATAGAAATCTAAGGGAATCAATTGGTGGCTTTAAAATAAATTGAAATTTGGGTGGAATAAAGTAAGTGGTTAATAGAATTGGAAGAAGGAATAAAGGCAATGTTGTTATTGATGTCTACTATTGGCTACCAGCCAAGGATAAAATTTTCCAAAAGTTAATTGCAGAGATTTCAAAGACGCAAGAAACAGTAGCAATGGGGGACTTTAAGAATATCAACTGTTGGGAGATAACTTTTGCCCAGAATGGTCCTTCAGGAAAACTCCAAATTTGTGTTACTCACAACTTTTTGTTTCAGAAGATGGAAGAAGATTCAAATGGATCAGATATTCCTGATTTAATATTAAACAACAGGGAGGACTTAACTGAAAAAGTTAAGTAGCAATAATATTTATAATAATATATTATCATATTCTATGTAATGCTAACATTATTGATTTTAAATAAAAAATAAAGATGAGTATAGTCATATGCATATTACAAACTTCAAGAAAACACATTTTAATACATTCAGAACAATAATAAGTAAGATTCCGTGGCAAGTGAATCTAATGAGAAAATGAATTCTAAAAAAAGGAGGTACTAAAATCAAAATTACAAAGATTTCTAATGAGGGGGAAATGCTTGTTGAAAGCTTAGAGAAGAGCTAAAAAAAAAAAACACATGTTGGATACGAAAAATAAGCAGATCACTAAAGAATAGTTTAGTTTAGAAATCATATTAAAAAGGTCAGAACAAGCTTAGGTTCACAAAGGATGCTAAGAATAACAAAAAAGGTTTCCTCTGATATTTCTTTAAAAAATCTACTTATCAAGCACTCACTGAAAATAGCAAAAGGCTAATAAATACAAAATAAGGGCATGACTCTTCCCTTCTTAATGTGGGCCAGTTTTCTCCAAGAAGACAGTAGCATTCCACTGGACAATTAAGAACAAAAGTTGTTCTTTGAAAGGTTAAAAGAGCACAACTACAAGTTGTGTTTAATGTAAACACTGACCTTGGATGAGCTCAAATTCCAAAGTCAGATGAATTGAAGTCTAGAATACTTAAAGAACTTGCTATAGGTCTTCCCTAGCTTCCATCATCTTTGAGGAATCCTGAAGAATCAGTAATAACTGGAAGAGAGAAACTTTCTATTTTTCAACGTGGGGAAATGGGGAGATTGTGGAAACTAAACCTTAAATGGCCTCTTCCAATTCTAGCTCTAATCTTGTGATTCTAGTTACAACCTAGGATGAGCAATGGTAGCTCTTCAAGGATTTCATGTCTTGTTGAATATGACAGCATACCAGAGAAGGACTATTCAGAGGTTGCACCCGTATTATGGATATGAGCCCCTCTGTCACCAAACACTGAGATATTATTTCTATCGAGCAAGTTGCAAATGTGATAATCTCAGATTCCAATTCAAAAACTGTAGGAAAATGTTCACTGCAGGTGGCTCTGCATCAAAGCTAATCAACAAACAAGATTTTTACTCAAAGAGATCTGGATTCCTATTCACTGGACTCTAATGTAGTCTAATAGTCAAGGTGCATATACATTATTCTTCTAATGTAAGGTCTTCTTGTCTGACTGCAGAAATTAAGGGAAGCCAGCCAGAGCTATTAAGTACAGCAGAGGGCAACTCAATGACACTGAGGAGTCCTAAAGGCAAGTTAATAGAAAGTTAAGCACGTATGTAAGTTAAGTACCCATGCAAATTTAGGAGGAAAGTAAAAAAGCCAATAGTCAAATAGTTACTTTGCATATTAGCTTAGCTTCTGGATATATTTATTATTTATTAAATAATAAATACTATAGCATCAGAGAGCCAGTGTAGTGTAATTAATGCTTAAGGTGGTTGTCCAGGAGCAGGAAACCCAGGTTCTAGATTATGGTCCATAACCTTCAAAGAAAAGGCTTTCATCCTGACGTGGTTTGATTCAGGATGATAATAATATATCTAGTATCAATACAGAAAACATCAGCAAGTGTGTGAGGGCAATCCAAATGCAGCTATCTGTTGGACAGAAGGTGAGCTTGGTAGTAACCTCTTGAGTTTTAGAAAATGTCCATTTCTTTGAAGCCATGGTCACTTCCTGACAAAGCCAAGAAATGCAGTTGGATTTGCAGATAACCCACAAATAGAATGTGCACCTAACAGTTAGGATACTACTTACTATGCAGTCAAGGAGAATAAGGCTTTGAGGAAACAGTACAATTATTATTTAAAAAAAAACTGTTCCGAAGGACAGACTCTCCTGAAATTTATTAGAAACACAGTTTTGTGACAGGATGCAGCAGATTTGTCTGATGAGTTGCCTGCCTGATATGAAGCCTGTAAATATTGTACAATATCTAGATTCTTTTGAAGACCGTGCTGATATGGAATCATTGTCTCTACAACAATGACTTTGAGAAACATAAGCATCAGGTTTGGAAGCCAAATATAGGTTGCTAATAAGGATGATGAAAACCAGGATTTCCAAGGTAGCTTTTTCTGATATGCTATTTGTTCTATGTGAAAGGGATGCAAAGACAAATACATGGATGAAAGAGTGCACAAGGAGAAGATGCTTACTTTTGTTAGTCACTGGGGTAAATTTCTAGGATGATATGACCTGTAAAAATGGAACAACCTCCACTTGAACAAGAATGGAACCAGGCTGCTGGTGGTTAAATAAGTCCCACTGTATGCAATCAAACTTGTTGCCAGGAAAACAGAAATGGAACAGAACCCTTAGTATGATTGGGTGAATAAGAAAGAGAGGGAGAGGCTGTTCTATTCCCAGATCTCAGAAGATAACTGAGTTGTTAAAACTAGATGAAATTAATTAAAAAAAAATATTATTACCACATTCTCATATGCATACTTTCAGCTCTTAATATGTAATCCACATCAAGAAGAACTTTTCTATAATTTTGGGCTGCTAAACGCACATAACCTTTTTACAGAAACAAACAAATCTGAAAAGGTTATAAAAAAGCAATCCTCTGGTAGGGAAAGGTAGAGTACTTAAATTTCACTTTCAGTAGCATGATCCCACAGTCGCAGGGAGTCGGATGGCATATACATATACATCATCATCATCATCCAGAATGTCTCACTAAATGCTCTATAAAGAGTATAGTAAGGAATGAAAAGACTCCATCAAGTTCATTTTGACTCCAGATTACTAAGCAGACATATCCAGAGAAAGAAAGAAAGGAGAAAATAGCAAACTATTTCTATGCTGTTGCAAAGAAAACAATTAGCTATTTTCCCTTCCCTTCCTCCCTCCTTCCTGCCTTCCTCTTTCTCTCTCTTTCCTTAATCTAGCCTCCAGTTCTGAAATTCCATGGCAGTCTCCCATCCAGCTACTAACCAGGCTCAAACCTGCTTAGTTTCTGAGCCCAGGTAAAGCCAGCCAGGTGTTGCCACCTGCTGACTTGGATTGCCAAGTGCAGTTTTATTTTCTTAGATATGCAGGTAACAATTTAAAGTTCCATGGCAAAATCATACCTACACATTTTTGGACTGCAGTACTTGATTAACAAAAGTATTTTAGAAAGACTCATGCTTATTTTTAAAAAATGGATTAAAAAACAGATTATGTAAAAAATCACAACCCCCTCCATCAGCTTGCAAATTATTTAAGAGCTTTTGCTGCCTGTTCTAATGCTGAGCATTTAAATAATGATGATGATTTTAATTAGTCATCAATGGAACGTGTGTTTGCTAGAAAATGGAAAGCTGTTCTGCTCCTGATAGTTTAATTTCCATTACTGAATTAACTATATATATTCCCTGAGTGAATCACAATGAATGAATTGCAATGTATGAACCACACAGTGAATGACTCACAATGAAAGGCAGTGTATGTACATGTGCAAAATCAAAAGTTATCTCTAATTATCTACATAGTATGTATTCATCTGAGCTGCTGGAGGTATAATCAGATGAGGTCCTGACATTCTGCATGATCAAGGTTTAAATCAAAGAAGTATGGGAGCATGAGAACAGGGAACTGGAAATCAAAGGTACAACATACTGCAAGACACATTAGAACAGGAGTATAATTCACCATTCATCTTCAGGGATGCTATACAAAATGCCCAGTGAAATGTGTGCCTAAGGCTTAGAGAATCACAGAAAAAGAACTTTGGGAGGGGGTGTACTGACCATCCAACTCTCTTCTCATTACTGTACAGGAATCCATATTAAGGAATTCTGTCAGATACCTGTCCAGCTTGTACTTCAATACATCCAGTGAAGAGGAGCTCACTGTCCCTCAAAGTAATTAGTTCCACTGTCAAAACTGCTCTTAGGTTTTTCCTAACATTCAGCTGGGAGCTGCCCCCTACAACTATATATAATTCTATGACCTTCACTTGGGGATAACAGAAAACAGAGATGTCATCCTCTGAGTTGACACTCTTACATGCACTGGAAGAGTTATCATATCCCCTCTCAGACTCTTCACAAGGCTACCTATACCCAGTTCCCTCAGTCTCTCATAAGACTTAGTTCTAATCCCTTGATCATTCTCACTGACCTTTTTATCTGTTCCAATTTGTCTGAATTCTTCCTAAAGCATGGTGCCCTGGACACAATACATGAGGTCAAGTCTGACTAATGCAGTGAACTATTAGTTCTCTGATTTGGAAACTCAACACTTCTATTGATGCAGTCAAAAACTGTATTTGCCTTTTTTGGAAACTCCTTACATTGGGTTCAGCTACAATTCCTACATACATGGATTTTCATACCTTCTCAAGCCAGATATCCCATGCCATGCCATATTTCTAGATTTATTTTGCATTAATAAGTTTGCCTTTAATAACTCTACTAAATTTCATTCTACAGTATTACTTTCAGTGTACTTCTGTAACCTAACTCTGCTTACTAAAGCAATAGGTATTTCTTCAAGTTTGTAATGAACTGTAAATTTTATAAGTGTTCTTCCCCAAGTTATCATTAAAATTGTTGAGGAGTACCAGTCACAGGACAAAATCTTAAGGTACTTGACATCCCCACTCTAGTTTGATAAAAGAACTGCTAATGACTTAATGAACCCATCTTCATAAACTTCCAATGCTGGCATTGGGTGAAATGAAGCCACATTTTAATGGATGTGTTAGTGAACTTCATGTAATCCTAGAGGGACCGTTGTTATCATACATTACAATATACTGAAGAAACAAAATATCTCAACCTAGCCAGGATCAAGGTTCTTATTAGCATTTATTAGCACTTAATTTTGCACATGTGGGATACCCCTATTGAATATTCCATAAAAAGACTTGCCCAGACCAAGGCCTGTCTTAGCCCTGTGTTTTGTTTCTCTCAGTAGCTAGCCATTTGCCTTTATGGTGCTGACAAGCAGAAAACTGCCACTGTTGCCTTGCAACTGCTGTTTGGAGGTATGTTACTTCCAAAGTTAATCTTCAAGATAAATAGCCTTTAATTTCAGGAGGATTTTGTTTAAAGCTAAGATGGTTCTACTGGCTAAATGATAATTTTCACTATGCTTCCAGCAATAAATCCTTGACAAGGCCCAGTGCTTATTTCATCTGCTGTTAATTATGAAACCCATTTAGCCTCAAAAAGTTAGGATTTGCCCACATGTCACTGACAGCACTTCTGCTGTTACCTTTGTTTATAAACTGGAGATTCAGACTCAACATTGTTGGATCTGTCCTGGAACAGGAACACTGACTAAAAGGAAAAAAAATAGTCACAAACCAAAAGATTCTCCTATTTGGGGCTATTCTTTTTGGGTTATTTTTATGATTGCTGCTGCAATAGTAATAACTACTATATGGGGACAGGTACCACATCCATGCTCCTGCACATTCTGGAGCACCTTTTGGAGATTAAACCTGAAAGACTGCACAACCTTTTTTTTTTTTTTACAAGATTGTGCCTGATTTAACAACTAGAAGTCATCTTAAACATTTCCAGAGAGAAAGTAAACTATGTTCTAACCATGACTGTTCTTCCTAAGCATCATGAAATGACCAGGCAGGAAGTTCATCCTTTTTTTCCCCACTAACAGTTTCCCCGTGGGCACAAGCTTCTTAGCTGAGGGGAAACGGAAGTGCATCTCCAACTTTATGCAGAGTTCTAGAAGCTGTGTGCTAAGACCACGTGATTTACAAAGAGTCTAAAAACTGAGGCAACCTTGAATTATAGAACTTAACTAAAAAATCAGAACATTGGCAAAATGAAATATAATAAAAATGGATAGTCCATTATAGGATTCCAAAGCTCTGGTATTAGGGTATAGCCAATCACAGTGTTTGATTAATAAAAATAACTGAGAGGTGAACTTGTATGACAAGACATACCAGTCCATCCTATTTCATCTGAATAAAAACACATTATTCTGGGTTGTCAAGATAGTTATTTATCCAAAATGATCATGCCAATTGATGCAAAAGATAAAACATGTTTTATGTTTGAGAAGTGTGGATTTTTGGGATACTAGAGCTTACTTACAAAAAGAAAAAAATTACTATGGAAAAAGAGAATCAGAAGCATTTGATATTCTGGATTTCTGCTTTTATGCAGCTCTACAATGAGGGAAGAATAACTGTGGACAAAAAGTTCTAACAACATGGACAAAAATTATTAGAGGTCTCTTTTCTTCAAGATACTTTCCTAAGTTCACATTTTTAAAGAACTGTTTGCAATTTCTTCTTGTTTTTGGTTATGTTTGCTTATTGTCATTGTCTTGAAGTCCTAATTCCATTACAGATTTGGTAACACTGAAATGCAAAAAGAATGGAAATGTTGCCTTTTTTATGAACCCTTTTCCCCCACTCTCACCTACAACGTAACTACCAAACTAGTTAAAAGTCACTTGGAAAAATGAGTAACTTTATGAGTCATTATCTGAAAAGTCAAACTAATTGCTAGTGAAAAAACTACCTATCTATAAGCTTCATTATCTTAGCAATGAGATCAGGCAAAAGAATATGTTTTAATAGGTTTTGTCAACACCTTTTTAAAGAGAGGGCATAATCTTCCTTGGCGTATTGTGCTTGAATAAAAGGCACATAGAATAAAAGGCACATAAGACAAAACAGTAACATGCTTTGGGCACATCAAGTCCATTCCAGAATCCTGTGTCACAGAGAGGCCAATCAAATGCATGTAGGAGCTTAGAAACAGGATATGACAGCAGTTTACCCACCTGTTCATGTCTCATTTGCTCTATCATGTCCATAACACTAATGAAGTGGAAGCAACGATCAGAGTGATCCACCAGATAGGTAGGGAAAGGCCGGTTCTGCCAGACTGTCCATTCTGTCAGTGACAGTTCATGAACTTCTTTAGTTTCCAACTCCTAAGATTTCAAAACACAAGGAAGACAGAATGCTACCAATACTACTCACAGTTCAGATTTATCAAAAGAATAATCCAAAATAAAGATCTTAGCTTATAAAGAAAATCTTAACTTATTTACAAGAAAAATGTGTTTTTTCACACAATAAAAAAGCATTTTATTTTTAGCACCAATCTCTTTACTAGTTTTAATTTACTAGTTAACAGACTGAGAATGCTGAAGCATTCATTTCTTGTATTCCATAGTATTTCTATTACTCATATAAATCCAACATTAGGTGTTTTTTTGGGGGTCCCTTTGGGTATGTCTTAATTCCTAGTTCCTGTAGTTTGGCTAGATTTCTGAAAGGCTTGCCATTGCCTTCTTTCTGAGAGAGAATGACTAGCCCAACATCAACCAGCCAAAGGTGAGACTAGAACTCACAGTTTGTAGTCTGGTGCCTTAACCACTATAATAAAGTGGCTCTGAATTCTTCCATTAGCCTGTCACAAAAAGCAGTGCATTCATCTAAAATGCTGATTTGTTAGGCGCCCATCAATATTTACTGTAGGGATTTACAATGGGATATCTGTATGGTTTTATAGGCATTTTGTTCCTTAGCACTCCCTTGTGTAAAGTAATTTAATTCATTTTCGAGATCAGTATCTACACCAACTTTCCCCAACAAGGGCATTTCAGACACTCGGAGGTTCAAGGATTCTTAGCAGTGACCATGCTGACTGTGAATTTTAAGTGCTGAAGTCCATAGAAGATTATTATAAAAGGAAGATTATCATCTTTTAAATATCATGTCTGATATAACTGATGGCCACAAGATCCTTTATTTACAATGATTAGATGCTGCATTAAGTGCCTGGCATTTTCTCTAATCATTTGAAGTTATATTTGGATATTTCTAAAGACGAAAGTCTTGAAGGTATGTATATCTTCAATATATTTATATCAAAACACATCTGTTACAACAGCTGAAGGCATTTTTTCCTGGCTTAAGTACTTTTTCATGATCTTAAGCCAGGCTACATTACACCAAAATATGTAAATGTTTCAACTTACTGTTCTCATATCTTTGCATTCTAATGTTACAAAGTGACTCCGTGGCATAATTGGCTTTTTTATTCCTTCACCAGCTTTAATTTTATATAGTCTATCCCATCTTTCAAATTCTTCAGTTGTAAGACACCAATTTTCAGTTGGACTGGCTTGTTTTGCACCTGGCAAATATTTGGAGATAAGAAGAGGAAAGATTTGGTATTTACAACAAAAATAGTAAAAAGAAAATTCTCTTGCTTGAATGCCCAGTGCATGACTTGCCAGAAAGCTCTTTCAGGTACTGTGGTGCTTAGAAGCTTTTGAACCCTTTTGAATTTTCGATATTTCTGCATAAATATGCAAAAGCTACATATTTGGGTGTGGCAAAAGTATGCGAACCTTTGCTTTCAGTAACTTGGATAGCAATAATTGCAACTTAATAATAACTAACTGCAGTTCTAATAATTGTTGATCAGTCTTGCACATCAGCTTGGAGGAATTTTAGCCCATTCCTCCTTATAGAACAGCTTCAGCTCGGACATGTTGGTGAACTTCCTCGCATGAATTGCCCGCTTCAAGTCCTTCCATTTCTTTTTTTTTTTTTTATATGTTTTTTTTTTATTTTTACAACAAACACAAAACAAACATGAACAAACAAAAACATAAAA